CCAAATCCTAAATAAAGCATGTAGCACAGTAACGTAATATTCAAATACGACAAACTGGAAAAGCAACTGGCAATAATATACTGTACATGTGCGGCAACGTAGGGGTCTACCACACACCTGTAGCCGCTGTAAAGTGAGAGTAGCACATTCTATCACGATCTGGATTCTGAGACAAGTAAACCTGCAGGATGAACTCTCGAGCCGCAACGTCGTCTTGCTTTGGACCTGTCTCAAACAGCAGCATCCAACAGAATCACCAACTTCGACATGAAGTTCATCAAATATTCCAGATTTGCGAAATTTGAAAAGTGTTTGTATCACGAAACAAAACTTACTTTCACCACTTTTAGATACAAAGAAGAAACCAGGTTAAGATATTTTATATTTGAGTTTACTTAATTATGCTTCTTTAACTGCATTCTAAAAGATGTACAAGAATGTGAAAACATCCTATTTTAAAGCGATAATCCCACCACCCGGAAAAACCCCCGCAAAAACACCTCCAAGCTGACAAACTGAAGGCCTCTCACATACAACGGAATGGTAATCACAGACATCCAAAATGTTTTCATAAGAAAACAACATAACTTGTCAAAATGTGACAGTATCTTTTTTATGTTAGGACCTGTTAACATTCCTATGAAGTTGCTATGTACTATTTTTTTGTCTGAAAGCAGAAAAACAAGTCTAACAGACCTTGAAATTTGCCTTTTAATATAGAATTCTGTTTTACTGGACTCATGTTCGTAAAATATAAGCGTGAAATTCAACACTGAAGTAAGAAGTACAGATAATTTTATCATCTTTGCGTCTAAGCTCTATAATGTGAACACAAAAAGAACGTGGAGGACAGTTGAGCATTCAAAATGGATGGAGGTCCATGACCAACATCACAAGCTTGTCATGTATACCTCACAGTTGATACTTCTGTGATTTTTATGGAAAGTTTTCTTCAGTTTCAGGTAAAACTTTCGTCAGTGCGATATAATTATATTTAGATACTACATTTTTAACCAAGTATCTCCAAGATCTTCTTGTATTTTTTAATATTTCTTTTTACTGAGGAAAATTCTTTGATACTTAACATCCCCAACAATCTGTGCAGCTTAAGTAAATAAACTACAGAAAATATCCATTACATTGAAGTAAAAATCAAGACAGTTCTGCATATTATTCTTCGAGTCTTCTGGATTTAATGAGTACTTTACCAGAGTTCTTTTGACAACTTTTTTGAACTGAATGCTTTTCATACCATCATATTCTGGGAAGTAGTCCACCAGATGAGAGTACATGATCTTCTCTTCAAGGAGATCCTTCTTGTTGAGAAAAAGAATTACAGATGAATGCTGGAACCACGGATATGTGATAATGGTTTTGAATAAGGCCTTGCTTTCCTCCATTCGATTCTGTAAAGAACCCAAACCAGAGATTAACTAACATTCCTGAAGTATATTTAAAACATGGCATATTCACTGTTACACCAAACATTATATGGAAATTGGGAGGAGTGGATTTTGTTTCGTTTCTCATCTCTGGCTCTACAACCCAGCGTGGATCTTGGCTGCCTCTTTTGGAGGTTGCTTAATCTATTTAGACATTTGGTAGGACTCCTTGGACGAGTTATCAGCCCATCGCAAGGCCTCTACATGCACACAGGACAGGACACAGAAATATACGGACAGACATCCGTGCCTTGAGTGAGATTTGAACCCACGGTCCCAGCGTTTGAGCGGACGAGGCCCATACCTCAGAATGCGAGGCCACTGTCGCTGGCAGGATTGTTTTGTTTCCTCTCTAAAATTATGCTGATCAAAGATCATCAGCATTTAAGAATTGACAGGTATTGGAGCTCCCATGATGGCGTAATTATATTAAGTTCTTTGAAAATGTGTGTGTAAGTGTGTGCTCATGACCATGTAACCCTTTGAACCTTTCTAAAAAAAACATTTCATCATTAGACTGAATTTTTGTCTTGTAATACAGTAAACCCTTGTCCGATGTGTGGGATATGTAACTTGTGAGTGTCATGTTCAGTGAATCTGAACTTCATATTGTAAGGAATTAATTGTGATAAGAGAATACAAATGTAGAAAGCCAATGCAAATAAATAAGATCATAAATATAATGTAACTGTATTTATTTTATGAACAAACATGAAAGTAAAATATCAATGGATAGTTATGCTTTAAAATAAAATATCAATGGAGCGTTAGGCCAACTGCAGCTTAGCTGATACTACCATGGAACTTACCTAGAATCATTATTTTCTCATCTAGTGTCATAATCTTTCTGCTTCTTGCTTCATTATCACTTTATACATATGTGTTTTGATTCCATAATGCTGTCCAAGGATACTCTTACAAACAGTAAATTATGTGGACATAAGTTCACATGGTAATAAGCGAAAATGAGACCGCGGGTTACGCGCTTTGAGAGATGAAGAGAGGGTAAAAGATGTGGAAATTATGCAAAGGGAAATAAACAAAACAGCATAAAATAAGTAGAACGGAAAACTTAAATGAGCACAAAGGATAGTTAAATTTAGTCAAGATGAAAGTATTGGTAATTCTGAATTAGATAAGACTGTATTTACACTGATTAAACTCATAAAAGTTACCACAGCAATACAAACATTGTGGCTAATGAAAACACCAGTCGATCCCAAAGATTAAAATCATTCATAATACTGCGCTACCTTCTTTCAGACACTACTCAAAGACGTTTGGAACAATGACGCATTTTCAATGACACAACACAGTGTATATGCAGATTTAAACCTAGAAGAGAAGTCTGAATATGTTATGACGACAACCCTGCTTTAAGCCTAAGGAAAGCCATGCATGACACTAGCTTACAATTTTAATAATTACAACTTACTAGATATTATTTCTAAATCTTATATTGGAATAAAACTTCTTTCAGCACACTGAATACTTAAAAAATGCTACAAGATAACTGAAAAGTCATGTAACCCATATTAAAATATTTATTAATGGTTATAATTCAATAGAGCTCGACTGGATTAATAAAAACACAATATCACGGTCACACAGCTCATGCAGGTCACACGATGTTGTAACCTGCTTGTCTTTTAGCAGCTGACATGCAAGGATGTCTTTTTCACAAGTGCAAAGACTGCCAATTGTCGAACGTTACGTGGCACTTCATTATTCCTTAATTTGCCAGAATGAGTTTAAGAATAAATTTTCCAATTTTCCTGTGCCAAACATATTGGCAATATCTCATCTGGACAGCCATGTCCAAAACATTGGAACTCTTCACTGGGTTGCATAAAACAGGAGAAAAAGTGCAAAAGCACGCGATGATGAACACTGTGGGAATTTGCAACACTTTATATAACTATCTTTTTTCTGATTTCAATGTAAATTTACTTTTTGACAAATAGAATATGTCGAGAATGGGTTGCATGACTTTTTGATCACCCTGTATAATCCTGAGGCAGCCTACCTCATTTTCAGATTCAAAGAGAATCTGATCATATTCACTTAAAGCAACTAAAAAAATTATGGAGGTGACGTTTTCAAAACAGTGGATCCACTTTCGTCTTTCTGAACGCTGCCCTCCTACATCCACCATCCTGAAATATCAGTAAAAAACATATGAAATGCACAAAAAGGGTTATTTAAGTTCGAAACATATGAAATGGTCCACTATAACATTTTCATATTCTGTGCTTGTAAAACGAATAATAATTTATGGTTCATAGATAATTACAAGTATTAAATTTTACTTCCACATGGTTTGACAGTGCTAAATAATTTTTAATTATCATCTAAACCATAATTACTTGATATTGCTAAACTCTAAATTACCACCCAAACACAAACTACTATTCAGCAGTAACAATACATGAAAATACAATATTCTAAAATAAAGAGCAGAGAAAGTATGTCACACTATACAGCACCTAATGGAAAAATATATGAAGTTAAAATTCAGAAAAATATTTTGAAATAATACAATTCAAACACAGAAAATTATCTCAAATTCTGAAATAACAAATTAACAACCACCACCACCACACATACACATTTTGGAGAAGATAAAGAAGTTTCATACATGAGTGACAGTTTCTTACCAAACTACAAGAACAGATTCAAATCTGTTCCATTTATTAAAATCTAATTTCTTATAAAATGCTTCCAAGCAAGGTTACTAGTCCTCATAAAAAAATACAAAGAAAATGCAGACAAATGGGTATAATGCAACAATAAAATAAAATTAAATAAAATTCATTTTAAACATATCTTATCAAACCCAATCTAAGGTAAAAAAAAGTCACAGATTAATCAAAGAACAATTTTCTGAAAATACTATTATTATTACAATCTTATAACGTTTATAGTGTCATGCCTGCAAATCCACTTTAATGCCAAACATATTAATTATATGTAACACAATTTAATATTCTACTCAACTCAAATGATGCACATAATTAGCCAAAAATACAGTATACTTCAGAAAGCTGCAAGCTATTCTTGGCACCACAACAAAAAGCAAAATTAAGTAGTAAAGCACATTAACACATTGAAATTAATGCTGAAGTTGCTACTTAGCTACAATTATTCTGCTTACTGCTTGTTAACATTCACAATTAAGCATGCATCTGCAAGTGGTCATCCCAAAGTCTAATGATATTATAAGAATTCATCGCCCTGATGACGGAGGCAGTATGACCTCTGAAACGTTGGTTAACATCAACCAGACTACACAGCGCAACAACCCAGAAGACAGAAATCTTCGTACTCATCGCCCTGATGATGGAGGCAGTATGACCTCTGAAACGTTGGTTAACATCGACCAGACTACACAGCGCAACAACCCAGAAGACAGAAATCTTCATACTCATCGCCCTGATGACGGAGCCAGTATGACCTCTGAAACGTTGGTTAACATCGACCAGACTACACAGCGCAATAACCCAGAAGACAGATATCTTCATGGAGCAAGAGTGCTTACCACCCAGCCATTATATTTCATTATTACCCTATCAATTAATGTGAAAACATTACGTTAGTCCCACTGTTATAAACAAGGAACATAATAAACCTAGGCCCTGCAATGTGCAAAAAATATGCACTATACAAATTTCTCAACCGGCAGTTCAATAAACAACATTTAACGGCCGTACGCTCTAATAAATTAATAGATGACAAATGTACCATTTAATGGACAAACATTTTCTGCTTCATGGAAATTAACGTCAGAGACATTAATCATAATGACTCTATTTAACAGACACTTTGCACATCATTGTTTTGAGAAATGCTAAATAAAAAAGATGGGATGATAAGTGAACAACGAAATAGAGGAATTTGGTCAAAGGCGTAATTGGAGGTATTATCCTGGAGGGACTTAGAAAAACCACAAAATCTGTGTTAACAAATAGTCTCTGGGCCATAAAATGAACCTGAACATTAATCTGCTACTTCCACTAATGTTTCTCTGATAAACCACCAGAAAACTTTTTACAAATTCATCGAAGATTGCTGTCTTCTGCGTAGTTGCACTGTCTAGTCTGGTAGATGTCCACCAACATTTCAGAGGTCCTTGCTGCCTCTGACATCAGGGCAATCACCCTGATATCTACCAGAATACAAGGCACATCAACCCAGAAGATAGCAATCTTCAGACTCCTCAAATCCTACATCCTTTCCACATAATACTTTTGTTACAATTCACATCATCGTGCTCAGTGTTCCTATGCATAGAATTGAGTGTTTTTTTTTTACAAAAAATGGTAGCAGTAAAGATTAATCTTAAAACTGTTCTTGAAAAAGATGACATTTTAGTACCATATTAAAGCCCATAACATCCACATTCAAATACACAACAAAGACGACGATGAGCCAACAAGACAGTAAGCCCAAGCTTAACTATTGCATAGTTTTACTCTGAAATCAAAAAACAACACAAACGCAAAACTAACAGAAAAATATTGTAGCTAGAAAAGCAGCCAGCACTTACCAGGATACATTACAATAATCTGCCCATAAACCAAGCACAAAACAAAGACAGACAGACATAACAATTACAGCTCCAATTAATATACTCACAGAGGGATGTAACATCATGTTTTAGCAAAATGAGACACTCACTTGTACACTTCCACCTTAAAGCTATAATTAACACTGTAAGCTGAGAAAGCATTGTTCAACCTAACTAATAGTCATTTATAACCGTCTACTTACAATAGGAAACGCGTTCAAAATAAATTTACAACATGAATTTCTCACATATGTTATTTTTTAATCTATGAAAATACATGAACACTATATTTTAAATAACTGGCTGCCTGCTTTATAGTTATACTTTCTGCCACCAGTTTAAACCACAGGGCTTCTCCATCGACGAATGGTGAAACTGTACTTTAGAAGAAAGAGTTCCCAAACATTTTTATTTAATAAAATACATATAATTAATACTCTTACTATAGTTGTAGTCTTACATGTACCATGAGCTGCTGTTGTATTTATCACCACCACCATCATCATCATCATCATCACTGTTTATACGAGGCGCGTCCTCAAAGTAAGTTTCCCACTCGTCCCACAGCTAGCAAACCTTATATTGCGCGAAGCGACTGTGCGTACGTGATAGAGCAATGACGTAGCATGGCGCATGCACTAACGGAACTTCCCGCGTTCTCACATTAGCATCGTTGCATCTGTTGAAGATGGAGGTTCTTATTCCAGCTCCCGCCGCCTGTGAAGTGCGGTCAGTGATAACGCTAGGCCGCACACGGTTCGACGGACAGCAAGTCTCCTGCAGGAGTTTAGCTGGGAGGTGTTTAATCATTCACCCTACAGCCCGGATCTCGCTCCCAGTGATTTCCATCTTTTCCTACACCTCAAGAAATTCCTGTCCGGTCAGCGTCAGCGTTTTGAGAATGACAGAGAGGCGGAGATGGTTGTCACACAGTGGTTCCAATCCCAGGCGGCCGACTTCTACGACACAGGTATTCAAAAGTTGGTCCCACGGTATGACAAATGTCTCACTTCCGGTGGCGAATATGTTGAAAAATAGCTGGACACTTGCTGTATCTGTTGCAATAAATATTTCCATGAAATTGTGTTTTGTTTCTGTAAACGGCCCTAGGGAAACTTACTTTGAGGACGCGCCTCGTACAATTATAACGCTGTGTTTTCATATTTGTTGTTTCAGTATTTAGAGGAAGCACGTAAAATATGACAAGGGACGAAAAAATAAATTAAGGCTTCATTTAACATGCTGATTCCATTTTAATCACTATTTTTACTGGGATGACTCGCACAATGATGTATACATTATTCATGTAGCCTTACTTATTGATATGGGAGCGCACAAAAACATTTTCGATAGCATATTTCAGACATCTCACTTTTATTCTGTAGCAGAAATGTTTACAAAGAAAGCGAGCATCACAAAGTACTTAAGGGGAAAGCAGGAGGAGGTAAGTGGACCTTCCACATCCAATTCATTACAGGAAATTTATGCTCGACTTTGCATAAATTATACAAAAGACATAACCCTGAAATTTTTTCGCATAAACCTTGTAGGTATAATATGAAAGTTAATGAGCATGACACCTTGTCGTGGTGGTGGGGGCATGAGTACCTCAGCGACGCCAAGAGCTACTGGTAGGGCCTCCCTAGCCAGACTGGTCGAGGGGGAGAGGTCAGACTAAGACAGGTACCCTGGTCCTCCAGGTTGGGGGTTGGTCGCAAGGCTAACAACCTTGCACCGTAAAAAGAAAGATGTTTCAAAACCTCGATCAAAGCCTCGGACAGACGGACCTAACAGAGGACCGAATGGAAGAGGAGAATTGAGGAGGCCATGGACCGAAAGCGGACCGGAGAGCCATAGAAGAACAATGAGCACGACGGGTCAGGTCAACGTTGTGTATTTACATACTTTGCATGCCCAAGTGTTTGGTTAAAATATTCTGAGAAATGAGAATGGAAAATTGTATACAAAGTAGGAGTCCTACCAAAATGTCTATTGATCAAAGTCAATGAAAAAGTTGGGACCCGCAGTGCTCAGGCACTTGAAGAACGGGTCATCAAGGTATCAAAGTAAAGTAAGTACATTAAATATTTACCAAACATAAAATATAAGCTGTATTGACATCCACATTTTAAACCACATACCATTTCTGAGAAATCTTAAAAAAGTTCTATTTGAAGTATAGATTAAATTGGAGGAACACAGATCAATATATAATTACAGTGACAACTTTTAGGACAGAGAATTAGAAACAATGTTACAAGAACTTACTGTAAAATTTAGAGACTGGCTGGCAGGCACGCAGACAGACAGACAGACAGACAGATAAACAAGACAGACAGGCAAACAGCGTAAGAATTATACCAGCACACACAGTAGAACAATTTGAATGTGCATAACAAGAAATTATACACATTTCACCTCCTTTACGCACTAAATCAATACTTTGGTTTCGTAACTGACATATTCTAATCAATTCAACAATACTTCAAAAATTTTGAATTTGGCCTTAAACTTAAGTGAAAAAAGATAATGGTCACACTTTGCCCATTCTTGTTCTTAGACAGACTGTTTTAAAACCATGTCTTCTTCTGATATATTTTGAAATGATGTTTGTGAAGCAGCAGTTCAATTCATTAAACAAATTAAAATATCCTTACTCCTTCAAAATTATCTTTTCATGCTGAAGAGATGGAAACAGCATCCATCTCCAGCTGTCAACTAAGGCCAAGGATAAATTATGGTGTTGAACATCCCATGCTTCCTTCCAGACTTACAGGTTTTTAGATAAAGGAAAACCCAAAAATGAATCATCACAGGACACAATTAATGTTACAACTGACAGAAGTTGCTTCACAATTCACACAAACAACAGAGGCATCAAGAAACAAACACAAAATTTTTAAAAACATAAATGTCAATGTCTGTTCATAATATCAATAAATTTGCTATTATTTATAGTTCATTTAGCAATGCTGTTTCAGGAGCTTTGAATGAGAGGATGACAGTGAAGAACGAACTGGAAAAGATGTGAAAGCAAACAGCTATTGCCTATTTTTAGGTACGATCCCTGCGTTTGCCTGGAGGCGCGGAGGAAAACAACAGAAAACATCAGCCAGGATAGCTGATCTCTGGGCCAAGATTTGAACTTGGGACCTCCCAAATACAAATCAGTAGTGCTAACCACTTGATCACAAAGTTTGGGAAATCTGCTAAAAATAATTTCTTTGGAAAAAAATGTTAAGTCACTTAACATAAAGTTGTTTGGGAATACAAAAAGTGTAGACTTCAACCACTGACAAAATTGTCAGTCTGGAAAGCAGATTTTGAAAGTGAAATAAAGGATTCACATCAACCGATACAGAAAAACTGTCACAGCAAACAAATATCACTGCAATATTTATGGCTGGTAAATAACATATTTCAAGGTGCTAGCAGCCTACTGTAATGCATAAAACAGTTAGAGTTACTTATGCCTAAATTCAATTTAAGATTTTTGTTTCGTTTCAGTACCTTACTCCAGGGATGGAATATTATTAACACTGCATTGTGGTATGCGTCACACATCTAAGCACAACTTGCGCTGAGCCTACGTTATTTGTCACTGCCACACAGAACGTTCTTAGCCGAAAAAGCCAACAAATTACTGGTTACAGAAAATTAACCTTCACGCGGAAAGCTCGTGTGCTGCTGCCAAAAAACGAAGTCAAAATGTTACGAGTAAATAGGTCAGAACAGAATTCTAATGAAAACTTTCCAGAATTTATTTATTTATAGTTTATTTGACAAAACTGCTAAGTTATCTGTAACTGCAACCAAATATTTAAAACTGTGTGTTACCAATATTTTTTGTGTTGATCAAACTTTTTAAAATAGAATGCAAGGAGCCGTATCTGCACACTTAAACAAAGACATATGTACTTTTTCATAATCCAATACATACACCGCTCAGGTATATGTATATGTCTCATAACACACACACACACTTAAAAACACCAATCCCTTCAAAGTTACTTCATTACTTTATTTAAGAAATACTTATTTACTCCATATAATATTAAAATTTGTGATTACATAATATTTAGGGGTGGGAACTCTTCCATCAACAAAATAAAAGTTTCACCAATCACGCTGGACTATTAAACCAACAAAAATGCCCTAAAATATAAATGTAAATGACACCTTACTGCAGCCAGTTAAACAAACTGTTTGTATAATTTTCTAGCTCATATGACAAGAATATGTACACAGGGGAATCTTTTAGACCTCTTCAGGACTTTCATTAAAAAAACATTTCTCTGTATCCTGATGAATAATTCCTACCTAAATATGATGGAGTCCAAATCAAAAGGGTACTCTAAAATGCCTGTGGTGGGCGCCCGAGCCCTGAGTATGTCCTGCTCGGTTGGGAGGTACTCTGTCTTCTCAATTCGCTCGATATCACTCAAGTAGCTGCAACAACGAGAAGGAAGGGGCAAGGGCCCCAAGAGGGCCTTGTCACCACAAACACACATAGACATAACAACATGCACAGACTACATGAGGCTTGCACAAAGTTGGTCGCTAGTGGGAGGGAGGAAGGGGGAACAAACGTCTGGATGAAACAAATCAAGGGTGCAATTTCTGACCTGGTTCCTCATTCAAATGCAGTGTTTTCTTCAAAAATTGACTGCTGTTTCTCTTCATGTATATGGTGCAATCTAATGAAACATACTCAACTACACAAGTCTTAAAACAAATTTCCACAATATTTGCCATAATTACTGTGCAAGAATAGCGGGACAGTGTTGACACTGCTCCTCCTCATCGTTACGGAAGGAAGAACAGAGTCAGACGAAGTACACAAATTCCATTTTCTCAAGCTAACAACACAAGACATCCAATTCTAACACTGAATGTAAATGATATCACATTAAATAATATTCCGAACTCAGCAAAGAGGAGAAAAACTCACAAAATTGCACCTTACAATAGAGAGATCTCGGCAAGAAAATTTTTAACCACACTTTATGTAACATAGACTTGCCTCTATGATGCATTCTTTAAGGTGACCTACGTCTCATTTACACAGTGGCTTGTTTTGAATGTCACGGTTCAGTCCGACCAAACACAGACTGTCAGCAGCGTGAATCAGGCACACCACAAACGAAACAGGAATGAATGTTACAGCAACAACGTCTACACCTGCACATTCGCTGTTGCATTGCAGCAGAATCTGCAAGTGTGTACTCAGCTTTAAAACGACATCGGAAACAAAATACTTCCTGATTCTTGCCCTACAGAGCAGTATTTGAAACTCACAGAAACTGGAATGCAAAAAAAAAATACAATATAGTCATCACCAACCATCGTTTATAGTAATTTTTGGAAAGATCAGGTTTTATTTGAATCCTTCACCTCCATATGGAGAACTCAAAATACAAATTGTTTAACACATACCAGGATACAGTGTGTAGCGTATGTATGTAGCGAAACTTTCGCGGCGACTGAAGCTGATGAAAGATTCTCGGGCTACAAGCCCGTTCCCATCTGCCATTGCGCAACAAAGGAACGGACTGGCTACCCAACAGCCCTGAGGATGAGAACGGTGATTGTTCCCGAAACAATGGCAGGAGATATGGTTTGTTTGCCAACACGGCTAGTAGCCCGAGAATCTTTCATCAACTACATAGAGTATGACACAGGAAAGCAAGCCACAATGTAAAAACAGACATATCTCAAGAGTTAAAGTAATAGGAATGAAAATGGACGGAGCAGGAAAAGAATATGACCAACCCAGGCTACTCTAAACCCCCAGGCAAATACAAACTTCACAAGACAAAAAAATCCAGACAGGCACACAAACCCGAGCTAGCGAGCATGACAAGAATCACCATCATGTGCTGGTACCTCGCGTGCTTTGAAATCTCCGTACAAACCTACCGTACCTAAAACGTATCTCTTCCAAATCAAAGGGGTATTCTATTATACCAGTAGTGGGGACTCTGACACGCAAAATATCTTGCTCAGTTGGGAGGTAGTTAGGAGCAGCCACACGGTCGATTTCCATCAGGTAGCTGCAATGTAAATAGAGGCTCAAAACAAATACACAATACATTCACATCCACTTCTTGAAGTCTGCAAAATAACCTTATACATTTTAAGCAGTTACCAAACATACTCCGCTCACATCAACACCAGAAAAGCTGTAACAATAAGTATCAAATCCTTTACTACGTCATCCCATAAACTATAATCATATACATGAAAGAAAGAATCCTAGACATCCAATCAGTTCAGTAAAAATAGTTGTATCTTGTAGCAATTCCATTAATCTAAATCAAAATAATCACATTAAGTGGAAAACTACAATCAGCATACAAAAATGTTAACTTGTTTTTCATAACATAAGTCACTCTCACACTTCCTACAAGAATTGCAAGGTAGTTCTGTTGTTTAATACCTAAACTGAACTGAATGAAGCTGAGCTAACTATTTTATTTATTTATTCAGTGTTCTGTCTGAGGACAGGTCCATATGAACAGGATCCTTCCATCCTTTTCTCGGACTGGGACCTGTTCATATACGTTCTTGGCAGATGATCCAGAAGTGGTTTGCCATTGCCTTCTTCTGTGTGTGAATGGAGTAATTGTTGGGATGCCACGGAGGAAAACTCCGTGTTGCCTAGACCACGGCCTTGCCCAACACAAGTTATAAATTCGGGCACCGCCGGGAATCGAACCCGAGACCCCAGGATTACAAGGCCAGCGTTCTAACCGCTAGACCACCGTGGCACGGTTGAGCTAACCATGAGGTATGATTATTAAATAACAGGGGTAATGTTTTGTGCGGCAATTGACAGCACTGGTGAATCACATCACTACATGATTTGGCAGTTTTGTGTCAATCAATCATTTGGATTAATTGTTTTGTAGATGCTATGTTTTATTGACATTTTGTTGTCAAAAACATGGGTGAAAAATTTGACAACAAATGTTTAGTCAAACTGCAAAATAGTGCCACTGACATTTGCAAGATTTTACAGCGGAGAATGAGGAAACCAGCAGCCTTACTGATCCCACACACAGAAATGATGTGAAATGATCATTAATTTACTAGCCAGTAGACAAACAAAGAAACTTTTGGATTGATTTTAACTAAAAATTTGGACATAAAGCCAATGAGAAGCAGAAAAGTGAGAAAAAAGAAATTTGCTCAGACCTTTCAGCAAAGAATCCTAATGCTTGATGATAAATCTTTCAATACCAATTGGAGAACCAAAACTCCAATTCCTTGTGGAAAGTCAAGTATCCACCCCCCCCAAAAAAAAAAAAAACAGCACAAACATTTTCATGTATCAAAGTAAAATTAACAGTTTCTCAAAAGTCAAATACAGTGAAGCCTCGACATACCACGCCTCGTTATACTGTGGACTCGGTTACCTCATGGCTGTGTGCATGTCTCCCAATACAATTACATACACAAATTTCTACGAAATGTTTTGGTAACATTACAAGACTGTACTGCAACATTCCTTGCTGTAGTGTGTGGGTACAGAGGGTATAAAGTCCATAGTCCGCTATAAATAGGTATGTTTCTGGTTTCTGTAACCTTCGGGTTATTTTGTTCAAACAGCAAAATTTAGTGAGCACCACTTTTGGTTGAGACAGGAAGAGTTGCATTGCTCCGATGCCGCTTCTTTTACTTGCTCGGATACTGACGGTTGGAAATCCGCAGAGCTGCTGGAGAGGGAAGTTCCAAAAACTACCTGTACTGCACTGTAGGTGTACTAACCATTTATTAAAAAGTGAGTAGTGCTACGGTGAAAACCGTCATTCAATAAACCAAGAAACGAAACAAGCCACGGTGATGATGACCAAAAGAAAAAAAATATACAATCGTAGAAAAATTAAAAATTATCAGAAGAGTTAAGAATGGTGAATCAAAAGCGAGCGGGGAATTCCAGAAGGAACAACACGCGGATGGATGACAGAAGAAAACAAATTGCGTTCCTTTGTAGATTCCATAGAAAATGACATAGTTCTGCAAAGAAAGAAGAATAGACTTTGTGAAAAAACTGATTGACATAGATGAGGAAACTCCCGGTTGCACAGAATCTCAGTGAAGATAATATCGCGGTGCCTGTGAAAAATGGGAACTGACGAACTTGGAGCCAGTGACTCAGAAAACAATGGTGATTCCTGTGAATTGGAGTATTTTAGTGTTCTGTCTGACGACAGGTCCATATGAACAGGATCATTCCATCCTTTTCTCGGACTGGGACCTGTTCATATACGTTCTTGGCAGATGATCCACAAGTGGTTTGCCATTGCCTTCTTCTGTGTGTGAATGGGATGCCACGGAGAAACCGGGGAAGCCCCCGGAGGAAAACTCCGTGTTGCCTAGACCACGGCCTTGCCCAACACAAGTTATAAATTCGGGCACCGCCGGGAATCGAACCCGTGACCCCAGGATTACAAGGCCAGCGTTCTAACCGCTAGCCTTGTAAGTATTGATACCAAATTTGAGCAAAGTGCTAGAAAATATTAATGAAGTGATGACATGGTTACAATGACAGACTGATAGTGAATATCTTCAATTGCTGCTTCTGGTTAATATTAAGCAATATGTTCTAAAAAAAAAGTCATTAATTCCAACAAACTACATTAAGTGACTATTTTTGTAAGGAGGCATAAACGTCAAGTAATTCGGAGTGGTCTGTGCCAGTAGCATCGGTGAAACATAAATTTGAAAATTACCTTAAATTTTCTCATATTTTAGTCACTGGATTAATATACACAATTATTACGGATTACAAAATTAGATAAATGTCAATTTCACAAATAACGCGGGTAGCTTATATTGGCGGGTACTGAAGCTGTCCCCCGAAGCCCACATTATATCGAGGTTCCACTGTACTCTACTTCCAAATTCTGGAACATTTAGACTATGCATTTGTAAAAAAAAAAATACAAAAGCTTTGGCCATGAAAAAAGGACTTTGCATCAAGGCAGTAAGACAGAAGATTTTTTTCCACATTCTTGTCAAAAGAGCCTTCTTTTTGAACAACTTGAAGATGTTCTGGAAAAATAATTTCTAGCATTTTTTAAGGCAGTGCAACTACACTCACATATGACTCATAAGAATGCAATCTTGTTTACTGAATCCACCCTGTTATTTAATTTTCAGACCTTGTAGACTCAACAGTAAGTTCTGTATATCTATACACTTACATACCTAAAAAAATTAACTACCTGAGTGTTTAAATTGAAGATAGAATATGACTAAAATATAAAATAATGTAAAATCATGAGGTAGGCATTGTGAATACATTAATGAAGCTTCTGCTTTCACATTAAGGCAGGATTTCTTATTATAGCTAAATGACTATTATATTCTGAAGAAGGATTCTGCTCCATGGAGTTAGTGTTTAGCTTCAGTTAGTTACGTAAAATTATAAATCATGAAACTCAACAGACGTATCCCTTTACTCAACTCTTATTAACAGAATAACTTATAAGGACTTAACATTCAAACCTTATATAGAGTTCTTCAGAATTATTAATTTTAAGAGGTATAACACAGTATGTGGAATACGCACAAGTAATTTAAATTAACTCTCGACACGCTAAATGTGAGTGCCTTTCGAACAGCATACTTCCCTGACGTGCAAGTGCCGTACGACATTTTCATGCTGCGCGTGCTAGTACTGTTAATTCCTCCAACAAGAACGGAAAGAGAACGCATGCTACCTCCAGAAACTTTGGACCAAGCACTATTTTTCTCAAAGCACTTCAGAAGTGAAAGTCCCGGAATAAAAAGGCATTACCACACCATCCATCCGTGGGACGTGCGTTTTTGTTTTTTTGGCTTTATCGTGTTTATGAATTTTGATTTCTACATACTATTCTTTTACGTCCCACGGATGGATGGTGTGGTAATGCCTTTTTATTCCGGGACTTTCACTTCTGAAGTGCTTTGAGAAAAATAGTGCTTGGTCCAAAGTTTCTGGAGGTTTTTATTCAATTGACTCTTCACCATCGTCAAGAAGTTTTAGGTTCAGGAACAATACAGTAACAGACCTGCAACTAATAAGTAGTAGGGTCTGAGGTCATAAGAATACAGAGTCTTGTGGAAGCCCTAACGCAGAAGGCTAAGTGAACAAAGGCTAAATCACGAACCCCACTTCATTGCAAGAAATGAAAGGTATTCTCATGCCTGTGTTGAGTGCAAAGAGAAAAATATTACTGCAAGATGAGCAGTAAAAAGCCATTTTTTACGCCCAGACAAGACTTCTGAACTGTACCACATACTCGACGGTTTCCGAAGAATTTCTAAACAGATGCATTTATAAATGCACGACAAAGTTAGTGTCAGTAATGACACGATGTGCTAAACGAAATCGTTTTACTATTCTGTACAAGAACTCACTTATGAAGTGTATCTACAACCATAAAACATGTTTCTGTAGAAGAATACATAATTAAATGGGTTAGTGGAAGAAGGGCCCATATCCATGACTTCAAATTTTCCAGGAGACAAAACCAAACTGCACTTTGTATCTTAATATACTCACTCATGCTACCAAATGTCTTCACATTGCTCTTAAGTTACACGAGTGCTATTAGGTATGGATTTTGGCTCTTTTTCTGATTAACTGTATGAATATGTCTAATGATCCTGATGATGGCGACAGTAAGGGCCTCTGAAACTTTGGTAAACTTCTACCAGACTACATGGCAATACAGTCCAGAAGACAGCCATCCGAGACATAACAAAAGTTATCCATCAATATGTAAGACTTGAGGTTCTCACAGCGGTGAGTATGAAGATTACTGTCTTCTGGGTTGTTGCCCTGATGACGGAGGCAGTATGACCTCTGAAACGTTGGTTAACATCGACCAGACTACACAGCACAACAACCCAGAAGACAGAAATCTTCATACTCTGATGACGGAGGCAGTATGACCTCTGAAACGTTGGTTAACATCGACCAGACTACACAGCGCAACAACCCAGAAGACAGAAATCTTCATACTCTGATGACGGAGGCAGTATGACCTCTGAAACGTTGGTTAACATCGACCAGACTACACAACGCAACAACCCAGAAGACGGTAATCTTATCCATCAATGTCAGCGAGTCACTTTCTTATGTTCAATAGACATGCCCTCTCAAACAGTCCATCTTCATGTCAAAAATGTATGCTGGCCCAGATAGTGGAGATTGACCCTTCTTCTTCTTCTTCTTCTTCTTCTAACCAATTCAACTGTCCTGCTGACCTGTGCCTAATTATGATAAATCTGTGAAGAAAGTATAATAAATTTCACCGAATAGCATGGCCTGTCATCCATCAGCTTAGAGATGGAGAACCCTCCAGATACAGAGGGCAGCTGCAAATATATTAAATAATCAGCCATAGATAACTGACAAGGGGTGGTCCTGATCTTGGGGTTGAACGAGAAGCCAAAAACTCCTCACCAGAAAAATCAAGCGTGCTATAAAATTTTACAAGGGCCCTAGAAACAGGGACCGGTGCCAGGCTGCTGTGAACATGGCATGAACATTCAGTGTCTATATGCGGTGAGAAATTTCTTGACTAGCTGAGTTACTGGATTCTCAAGAAGGACTCTGCTCAGGGCACCGAGTTAATAATTATGGGTGTAGAAAGATGTCATTTCAGCGATCAGAAATTCACATCAACATTTTTGCATCATGTCAGGGCACAGTTTATTTTTTCTTTGATATTTATAGAGCATATACAAGGTGAAACTCCATTATCACAACTTACTTTATAGCAATATCAGACTAAAAGAAGTCAACCTTGGAACCACTTAATTGATTGTGCACTTACAGATATGAGATGGATCGAACTGTCTTCAGTCAATTCAGCTGCAAAAGACTACGAGACAGAAAGACCAAACACGAGGTAGAATGCCTGATAACGGGATGAAAATACTCACGTCTGAAAGAAATGGTAGAATACTTAACTTTCCACAGTAATTATAAAAATTGGAACAGAAAGTTCTGATTTTAGGTACCTGACAAGCAGGCTTAACATGCCAAGGATTTTGGACGGTGCTGGAACGTTAAAATCCAAGCAAACGTCACGAGTGCCATATGTCCCATGTAATTCCCTCTGTTCCATCAAGTTTTATGGATTTTAAATACTTATTTTGTACATCTTTTCAGACTGTTTTTGGTGTTGAGTAGAAATGGCAGTACTGGCTAAAATACTTCTTGATGCAATAACTCACTATTTGGCAGAGTCGGTGAGCTGGTATTCACGTCTTCTGTCATAGCACTCTTGGATACCCGCATCTGACCAGAGATCCTTGATCGCTTCTACGTACGGACTGTCGAACGTCGTTACCGTTTCATAGTCCACAGTGCGGATAAGTTCTGCCTTATCCTGAAAGGGACATATCATCCTAGTGTCCTTTATTTTCAGATATATAAATGCTTATTAAAACAATCACACTTTATCATACTTACATTAGAATATAACTATGTTAAAATCAGGGCAGCAAAAAACTGAGAACGGCAAACACATATAAACAAAGATATATTTTGTATGTGTTTGCAACCCTGTAACTATACAGCGTGCTGATGTTTAGTGTTGTTATTATTACTCTACTTCTATCACAGAAAATACATTATATATCAGTGGACCAATCTTCAACAAAGGACGTTCTGCCATAAGGTGTTCTGCAAATTTTTATAAAAAAAATTGTATAGTTGCATGTTATAGTTAGAAAAAAAACAATATCTAAAGTGGAACAACGTCTGCCCTAAATGAGACACAGAGCTCATTTTATGCTCATTTCAAAGTTATCAAGATAACCTTTCCAATGACCTGTTACAACAATTTATTCAGCAAAATTAAGTTTTCAAGGTCTTCAAATTCAACCTTTTACCCTGTATTTCTAAAAATGCAGCACTCAATTCTTTTAAATAATGTGCATCACTCACTCATGAAATGGTGGATACTTTTTAAAAAGTCGACTGAATACTCGGCTTGTCAAAGAATAGCCCACTTTCTTTACGGAACTCGAAGATTCGCCAACGTGTCGACAAAAGCCCGAGTCAGCTGCTCCCAGTTCGTTCCATCGATTTGTATCTTCCTAAGGTTCACCTTAATGTTATCCTCCAACCTTCGCCTAGCTCTTCGCAGTGATCTCCTCCCTTCATGTATCCCAACCAATAACTTGTAAACGCCCCCCCTACCCCTTACATGCCAAATGACCCGCCCACCTGATCCTCCTCAATTTAATCACTCTAACAATACCAAGTGATTAGGACAGGATACTAAGGCTATGAAAAGAATTGAAAAAGATGCGAAAATAAGAATTCTTAACAATCTTAAAAATGTCAATTCTAGTGCAATTTTTCCATCACCTGGTGTTGAGACATTAAAATAATTAAAGGAAAATTTTCAGGATTCAGTGACTTCAAAAAATTTTTAAGTCGACAATTTTAACTATTCCCCCTAAGAGTTTGGGTGTACTCAAAAGTTCAAGAAGTTTACCCAAGTGCACATAACTACATGATTAGGGAAAAAATTCAGCTTGTTATGGACCTGGGCATTAGGTCTTCACTTGACATCAAACCAGACAAAACTTTAAATGAAGTTCCTATCAAACTCAATGTAAAAAGAATTCTATAAGAGTTACGAAGCAAGTAACGATTGTGTATCAATTAAATTCAGTGGTGTCAAAACATATTAACATAAATTATTATTGCTGTCCAGTTCCAAAGAGTTACACTCTCATTTCAAAAACCGACATCCAGGAGTCAAAGTAAGTTTTTCAAAGTTTGCATCCTTTCGTCCCATATACCATACCACGGCAGATGCAAAAGGTACACACAGTGTGTGTACGTAGAATTCACCAAAAATGTGAAATTAATGTTGGAAGCTCGTAAAACATCTGAACTAGTAAGAAGCATTATGCATCACCTTTCTACGCACAAATACCGTTTCTCAACTATGACTTGCGATCCACCTCGGACAAACTTCTTTTTCTGTGACTGCAGTGATCGTCTAGGACTTACCAATTCAGAAAATACATTAGATGTATTCACTGATAACGCAATTGGAAACAGCACTTTCAAACAGTCAATTTTAAACAAACAGGTGGGAATTCAAGAATTAATTGAATCATAACTTGAAAAACCGTTACTTCAACGTCGTTATTCAATCATTGAAACGCAGCAAGCTAATTTCGTCAAAGAACTGAAATGTACTTTTTAATCCAGTGGCTTTGTAAGACTTGCTGAAAGAATATTCTTTCGTTTTACAAGATAAAAAATTAGGCTTTGACAGAAACAACGCACAAGCCACAATAATCCATTTGTAATTTATTTCAAGAGGTCAGATTATTTAACACAGAGCATGAGAATATAGTAACGATTTCAGTGTTTTGGTCTTAACTGCAGAGAAATCTGCACTAATAATGGATTTCACTTTCTTATAAAAACTCTTAATATCATCAATGTTGTACCCAGTATTTATTACCATCACATTTATCAGTTCCTTCCCTTTATACCTCTCATCCGGAGTAACAGGCATCTTGTATGCCCTACCCAATAAATCGTTAAGTGTCACTTGCGATTATTCAGACGAGCGGAAGATTCTGGTATCACTGTACCTGTGTAGGTATGTTTTCTGTAGACACCCACTGTAAATTCATTTGCCTTGCTCCATAAATTGATCGAGATATAGAAAAAAATGATCTGCAATGAATGATTAATTTGCATTTACAGCTTTTATTTTCATTTTTGGGTGCATCGCACTGTGGTCCTCCATTTATTAATATTGCTGTTATTATTATTTAACTGCTTAACAAAAGGAAAATATCATTTCTATCTACCAAAATTAACTTCATATTAGAGGTCCACATGAGCCAAAATTTAATCCTGCCCTGCCCAAGCTCAAAGTATGGCTTCAAATAATTTATCCATACACCGAAAAAAGTCTGCCGTCATTTCGCTCCAGGACGAATGGAGGCTGGTCTATTTACAACCTGCCCTGACTATCATATCACTAATACATTTTTCTTTCAGTGCACAAATGCCAGTAATCCTTGATTGAACACTGAGGTTATTTTGGGGTCCAAGGATCAGTATAAAGATATCAGCGGCCAAGTTTATAAAATGTTATTTCAAACTAGTGTATGTGTCGATTTTCTTGAGGAAAATCCCTAAGAAAATCAAGTCAGTAGGATTTTTTTCGATAGCCTGACAGTGTCACGCGCTTCAGACCCAGGCCAGGGTCCGTGCAGACCTCTGCATCATCTACATATATATGTATAGTTAATTCCTCGTTATACCTTTTACTCAGGGATCACTGAATCGTGGTCCAAAACCGCAAAGCCACACTAAAACACGGGTCTGCCTTTTCCTATGAAAAAGGGGATTTGAACAAAGAGAAACTTTCTCATTACTTACTATGTTTGAAGATTCTGCATACTGTATCTTAAGTAAATCCATTGCTCTGATCATACTTTGCATTGCCATGAAGATATTCTGATAAACGAGTTTGATGAAACCACGCTTGTCTTCATCTGAGTACCCTGACCCATGGATGATCCTCATCTGTTTGATGAACGTTGACTTGCCCGACTCTCCTGTACCTATTTGAAGACAAGAACAAAAGTGTTACTTCAGAACCACCTCCATTTCTTAAGCTGAGGAAAAGAAATGCATCAGGAGAAATACAATTTAAATCACTGCCCGAATTTATAACTTGTGTTGGGCAAGGCCGTGGTCTAGGCAACACGGAGTTTTCCTCCGTGGCATCCCAACAATTACTCCATTCACACCCAGAAGAAGGCAATGGCAAACCACTTCTGGATCATCTGCCAAGAACGTATATGAACAGGTCCCAGTCCGAGAAAAGGATGGAAGGATCCTGTTCATATGGACCTGTCGTCAGACAGAACACTAAATAAAATATAAATAAATGAAGGAACCATGCTACAGCTCTCATTTCATTACATTGTACATCCACGCGGGAACCAAAAATCCTTCACTAAAGTACATCATTTCAGACATGACCTTGTTTAAATGTGGTCTCATGAGCTCTGTGGCTGTTATGGTGGACCTACTTCCGACTGTCTAATTACTCGAAGCCAAATTCCTGTACAAGAGGACATTCCAACAACAGATTTGACGAAGGCGGTATGACCTCTGAAACGTTGGCTAACATCAACCAGACTACACAGCGCAATAACCCAGAAGACAGGAATCTACATCTCGTACAGCTTTGCCGGATTCTGTTCCATGTGCAGAAATTCTGTTATGTATGTTCAAGAAGGAATCGTCAGAACGGAAAAGAAACGAACTTGTCCGGCTGGACATTCGCGTCACAGGAAATGATCCAAGATAGGCCAATCAGAAAGGACAATTTGAATTTCAAATTGTGGCAAACACCGAGCCGCATCTACAAAATGATCAAGCTTGGGTATGCAAGTTTCACTCAGCGACCAGATTTCGAGCAGGAAGGCTGTGCTCACTGTTAGTAAATCCGAGAGAGACTCAACCTGACTACAACCGACCCAGAATTTCCCTCACTGGCCTTCATCTGAAGCTCCCCATAAATAATACCTCGGTGGAATCTGACACCTACCAATTGAACAATTCTATCATAGATCATTAAATTCCTGAGACTGTATTTACTACATAACCCAATCCTTACTTATGATACACTTGCTGATATGAAGGAGAATCACTTCTGTGACCAAGCACGGCTGAGTGAAAGAGAGAGTTACAGCCGTCTACAATTTGGATTTACGTGTGCTGGTGAACCAGTTACATGGTAATAAGGAAAGAGAGCGCTGAATATTTCCACTACCAGAAAAATTAAAAAAAAATTAACATGAATATGAGAGTTATCCCAAATTCAATTTGCACGCACTTGTGATTTCGGCAAGCAGATGCCAGTTTGTATTACGTTAAAACCTTTGGTTGAGGCAAAATTACAGCATTTACACACAAAGCAAGCTCACAGCAACCACATATGTGACGCGTATTTTAAACTTAAACCACTCTGACTTAAACCACTCTGACATCAATCACAAAAGGTGGAAATGGAAACGTTTATGAAGCAAAGTGAGCTATACTACCAAATGAGGTAAAGCTCCCAGAAATGTTGAATACCTTATCATACCTTGCGTAGAGGACATGCTTTTGCGTGTGCTGTGATAGTAAATTGAAGGTTATCAACAAAGCTCCACTTTAAAATTCTCCACATTCGAAAACAATCTACATGAGCTGTAATATCGAATATGAGTTAATATTTCCTATGTACGAGGTGCGATCGGAAAGTTTCAAGACTGTGTCAATAGAGGGCGAACCGGATGTAGTACGAACTTCTGCCGCTAGGGGGTGCGGCCTACATTCATAGTGAATCAGTGTGCCAGCCGGCATCATCGAATTA